CTTTTCATCCATCACCCTGCCTCCTTCTGAGAAGCTTGAGCCTGTCCGCCCCCCACTCCCCAACACCCGCTTTGAGGTGGCTTCTACAGACGGTTTACCATGCTGGACCTTATGTGATCCTGGGAGAATAATGAAATGGTTAGCTCCAGTTCTGAATTCCCCATGTTCTTGGTTATGTTATTTCATAGTCCATCTCACTAGTGGCAGACTGCATCTCTCGCCATATGCCTTTCTTTTGTCATTTATCTCAATCTGTAGTGAACTCATTTACCTTCCTCGTGACAGTGAGCCGTGCAAGTTCAGGGCTCTTTGTCTTTTTTTTGTACTCTTGGTGCCTAGTATGATGCTTGATGCACAGTGGCCACTTTATCATTTTCAAATTCTATTAAAAAACAAGTTTAAAAACAAACTCTGCTTTAAATTTTCAGATTATTACAAGGCATACTTCCCCCCCCACCACCAAAATGCACATACTATGAACACAAAGTTTTTTGTATTACTTCAGGGCAATCATGGGCATCTGTTTGCTTATGCCTTTAATAGGTCTATATTCAAGGGACCCAGAGATTCCAGAGGAAGAGATCCCTAAGGTTACAGTGCATAGAGAGAAGACTGGAAAAAATTTTAAATCACTCATCCCTCCCAATTTTGCTTTTTTATGGAACATATTTCTTTCTTCAGATCTATCTTATATTTCCTTTTGGTACACCAAGGAAAAAGAGCCCATCATGTGGAAGTTATAAAATGAATTAATCAATATAGTTGTATACTAATTTATAAATAATAAATTTATAGTAGTTAGTTTTGTAGTTACTGTAGAAAATATACCCATGTCAAAAATAATCAAAAAGCATATTTAATAAACATTTAAAGACTACCAATTGTAAGTGAAGGACTGTGAAGGGCAGAAGACAGAATAATCAATTTAAGATCATTGTATGGCGTGATGACAACCATAAATTGGGCATTTGGGCAAGATTTGCCTCCAGGTAACGAAGACAGTGGTGGAATGGGCAGAAAGAAGCTACATTCTGTTAAGAAAATAAGCATACTTATTCTGCAAGAGCCTTTGATCTAATTGTAGTCAGAGATGACTGCTAATATTCCGTCCTTCGTAACCAGATTACCCACAAGACCGGGACCAACTTCTGGTAGTCATAGGCTGATCACCAATGAGGGGGCAACATACAAAGTACCATATCTCACCACATAACCGTCATAGATTTTATGACGACTATTGTTTGTAGAAGTGTGGTGAGAGCATGATGTGAAGCTTTTAAGAGGTTACAAACCAGTTTTGGGGCATTAAAAACAAGGTACGATGATTGTGTGGGGGTGGCAATTATGCGGTGAATACCCGTCTATCTCTGCAGTACCGGAAGGTACAACTCTTTAAAGGTCATTTGAGACCCAGCATGTAAACATTCCTTCATCTGAGTTTTTCAGATGTTCATGAAATATCTGTTGTTTCTTAAACTTTGAAGGGGACTCAGAACTGATCTGCTGTGAAAATCTAATCAAAGATGGGAGCCGCTCTGCAGTGGACTTTGTTTGAATATTCAGTAACAGCAGCAGCCTGTGTTTGAGCCAACACTAATTATTAGAAACTGCTTCCTCATACTAAACGAAAGCCTCCTTACGTTTTCCACCATGTCTCTAAGCTCAGCTGCTGAAGCAATCCATCTTCCTCACGGAGCTTTCAAGCTTTTGTATTTCTGAATTGATGTCCAGAAAATTCTCTTATGTCTTTCTCTTAGAAACCATTTTCAAGGTTTTTACCCTCCTTTTCCGATTCCTCCAAACACTGTGCCATGGAGAACGGAACACACACTGTAGCTGTAGTGAGTGACTCTGACCACGGGAGTCCAGAGGGATGAATCGTTGGATTGGGACATGTCCTACCGTTAGTGCCTTCATTCAGGTCGGCTTGCCCCTTCCAGGAGTGCTGTGCTGAAGGCTGATACTGGAATTTGCTCAAATAAAACAGCTGTTGTCTTTTTGTTTTCTGGGCCACACCCAGCGATACTCAGGGTTTACACTTGCCTCTGTGCTCAGGGATCACTCCTGGTGATGCTCAGGAGACCATATGGGTGCTGGGGATCCAACGGGTTGGCTGAGCACAAGGCAAGTGCTCTACCCATTGTACTATCCTTCTGGGCACTACTGTTGTCTTTTTGTGTGTTTTCTGAATATTACTATCAAGCAGTCAGGTTTTCCCTTTCTTTGATCATGGCAATGGGATGCATCCTGTTTAATTTTATTATTGGTTTTACAGTCACACCAGATTGTGTTCAAGGCTTACTCCTGGCTTTATGCTCAGGGACTACTCCTGGCAGTATCCGGGGGACTATATACAGTGCCAGGGCTTGAATCTTGGTCAGTTCTGTGCAAGGCAGATACTCTACCTGTTGTATTATCTCTCACCCCCCTACCAAATCTAATTTTCATCTCAGCACTAAAACAATTTTACATTTCAATAATATCATTACATTTAACTTCTTCAGCTAAGTTGGTTGTAAATTTGATCATTCATGCATTTCTTTCATCCGAAGAACTGGAAATATCCGTGAGTTTAATATGAATTATTACTCAACTTTCTTAGGTTGTTTCACTAATCACAATTTTTGGGGGGCAACACCCAATGGTGCTCAGGGGTTAGTTCCCCTCCGTGCTTGGGGGTACTCCTGCTTATTTCTCAAAAGTTGCTCCTGGTGTTGCTTGGGGGACTCTGCAGTGCTGGGAACGACTCAGGCCTCCTATGATTTCTGCGTGCTCAGTCTCACTAACTGAGATTTGTTTAATTATTCAACCACCCTCCTCCCATCTTGGCCGCAATGTCAAAGCAAATGTTGACATGTTTACAACAGTGTTAACATTCCTGGTTTTTATGTACAGTCATTGTACCTTACCGCCACCAAAGTGCCCAAGAATCTCTCCTCCACCTGTCCTCACGTCACCTCTGTTCTGCCTCTTCATCCCTCCCACTGCAGTCCCTCCCGCATTGTTTGGAAATCAATTGTGGTCCAAGGCCAAGGGTTTGTCATCATCTGATACTGTCTGTTCCCTTGTTTTGACACTCTCTAGCCCACAAATGATATCACCCAGTATTTGTCCTTCTCCCTCTGACTTATGCTTCTTCAGATATTGTTTTGTTGGACTTAGTGGACATTGTTCCTTTCTTTGCTATAGTTTCTCTGAAGGCAAATGCTAGAAATTTCCTCTTTATTATATGGCAATAAAATTTTTGGTGAGCCTCCAGGTTCTCAAATAAGCAAACACAAGAAAGGCTCAAATTTATTACAGAATTTATTATAGGAAAAGATAACTACAAGGTAAATTCAACCAAATAAAAACTCAAGACTGGACCAGAGCGATAGTACAGCAGGTCGGATGCTTGCCTTATAGGTGTCAACCTAGATTTGATCCCCAACATCCCATATGGTCCCCTCAAGCACAGCCAGGAGTAATTCCTGAGCACAGAGTTAGAAGTAACACCTGAGCACTGCTGGGTGTTCCCCCCAAACAAAACAAAATAAAAACACAAGACACCTTGGAAAGGGGCATGTAAGAGGTGGTGCTCATTGCTCCAGTTTTTCTATTATTTCTTTTGTTAGTACTGGGGATTGAACCCAGGGGCTTCAGACATCTGAGGCATTGGAATTTACAACTGCATATCCCCCTGAACAACACTGGTTGTGCCCACCGTGGCCCCTCAAATTTCTGTAGAAGTTTCTATGACATTATTGTGGACATATTATAAAAGCCTACTTTGCTCTGCTAAGACTTTTGTAAACTTTACCTTTTGTCTTCTTTCACTTGTTTCAGGATGAGTTAGATATTCCCAGGACACATTTCTTCAGTAAATATGGGAAAAATAAACTTTGGACATTATTTTTCAAATAAAAATGAAAGTCTAATATGTCTTTTGTGCTTTTATTCTCATCAGAAAATTAGAAAGACATTTCATTCTGAAAGCCTATCCGATTTCTGATGTCAGGCACAGTAATTTCTTTTTAATATGGTGCTGAGGATGGTTTTACACACAAAACATGTGCTCTACCCCTAAGCTCCACCCTCAGCTTAGGTTCATATAACTTTGCCTAAATCAATTAAGGGGATTAGTTTTACTTTTTTGGGGGGAGGAGGGTGGGCCACACCTGGTGATGCTCAGAAGGTACTTATGGCTCTGTGCTCAGAAATTACTCCCGAAGTGCTCGGGGACCATATACAATGCCAGGGATTGAACCCCTGGCCAGCCACGTGCAAGGCAAACATCTTACGCACTATACAATCACTCTGGCCTGGACTTGTATTTCAGTACTTTCCTTTTTTTGGCGTGGAAAATTGTTATTGTACATACAAAAAAAAGTGAAAAATGGCAATTTCCCAGATCAATAATTAGAAGATACTTTATTATATGTGGCTCAACTTAAAATCTGAATCGCAGGGCCAGGTAAATAGCCCAACTTGTAGAGCACCGGCCTAACAAGTACAAGGCCCTCAGTCTGGTTCCTGGCACTGCGTGGCCCTCTGGGCAACACCTTTGGGTGCACCTCTGCTGGCCTCTGGGCACAGCTAGCAACAGACTGCAGTGGACTGAGCCAGGCTCACGCTGCTATAAGTGGCTACACCCCCGCCCCCCACCTCAGTGTCCTGGATGTAGTCCTGTAAAAACGATTCTGCAATGTTTGTTGTCCAGTGAAGGTTTTTAGTCACCCACTCATCAAGGTGCCTCATCACTTTCCTGGGCCTACTCAGAGAAGTAAAACAAGTGAATAAACGAACAGTGAGAGTTGGAAAGGCTTTTAAATAAACAAGTTCTCAGTTCTGAATCATGCTACAGAATTTTAAAGATTATTTGATTATGCTGCTGTTCTTTGATGATTTTGAATAGTAGATGATTTTAGAATCCTAAATAAAATAAACACCACAGTGCTTTTTCCCCTTCTCTGTGTCAATTTTAACAACAACAAAAGGATGAAAAAGATAAAGTGAACTCGTTTTCATGGGCAACAATGTGTCTTTATTCTGTGCTGCCTTTTCACACCACGTATTAGTTTTTACATGTGAAATAATTCAATACTTAAAATGATAAATTTATTGTTAAAGGAGGCAACTGAACAATAGAAAAAGCTGAAGAGAGTTTTAGTCTAAAACTGAAAAACAGAAGGTACAGGGTGCGGGAAGATATTAAGCATCAGACCAAAGGTAGAGGGTGCAGGAAGATACCAGGTAAGCAGAGCTTTGGGGAGCAGAGGCAGGCCGGGTGGTGGTCTCAGAAAGGAAGGCAGGGCTGCATAGGGAAGTGTAAGGAATTTGCTTGGAGAAAACCATCTTAAAATGTTCTTCTTGGTGTCTATAGCTCTTGATTTTTTCCTTTTGCTGCTTATTTAATTATGCAGCGTAGTGACTTTTTATGTAACACAATCTTCATTTGGTGCGGAGGAAAGAGAGATTCTGATCTTATTCCTGGCTAGCCAAGTCACTGCCAGGTAAACTCATTTGGGAAGCAAAAGGAAGACCTAAACAGTGTAAGTACATTCAGAGTCTGTGTGTGTGTGTGTGTGTGTGTGTGTGTGTGTGTGTGTGTGTGTGTGTTTCCATTGAAAACAACAAAAAAAAATTTGTCGCATTCTGATTTTCTTATTGGGAAGATTTCTGGAGAACAAGACAGACAAGTGAGGATTGTGAGTTTATCCTCGTCTGCTGCAAACTGGAATTAAGGCCGATGGAAAGACAGTGAAAGAAATGCCGATGTTACAGAAAATGCGTATTGGCACCCAGGAGCTCCTCCTCCGCCTGGCTGAGTGAACACTCACACAACTACAGGCAAAATTTGTCCCCACTGTTCTGTCCAGGAGCCCCTTCTCTTCCGGAGTCTCAGAATACTTGGGCCCCCTTCTCAGGCGCCACATAGAGCCATCTGTGATCATGCACATCTGCCACTCTGGGTGTGTTTGCGGGAGGCAAAGGAGGCAAGGGAAAAATATTCCTGCACTCACTTTCGTGTTTCAGTGGGCAAATACGCCAAAAGATGGACAATCTTGCCCGCTTACATGGCAATGAACCTCTGGTACAAGATATTAAAAATAGTCCCTGGGGCCAGTTTAGTTCAAACTCTTGCTGTTTTGGTAAGCTCTGATAACATTTTACACTGAAAAGACAAACCCAAACGGAAGAGGCCAATTTAAGTCTAGCAGAAGGTTGGGAGTCACGCAGCCTGAAACACGACGATAAATGCGTGAGTGCAGCTGAGCATGCTGGCCCTGAGATTGGCAGGCAGAGCACTGCCGCCCGCCTCGACACAGTCAGAGGGATGCCGGCTTCCAAGGAAACATTTACCAGAGGAACACAGTGATTCATTCAGCATTCCAGAAATCTTATGGACAAAACTTCACGATAGAAGAAGGATCAAATTAAATAATGCATTTGATTCAATTTAAAAATTCTTAGCCCTCTTACATTACATTATCTAGGTTACAATAATAAAAAAATCAAATTACATTCATATGAAAACTTTTATAAAAAGAAATCACATCCATTTTTATGAAATTTTATAGTACAATTGTTTTCCAATGGGTCTTTTCTTAGGTCAGAATATTTATAATTCCATTTACATCTGTATAATTTTTCAAAGTTTAAAAAAAAGGCAGTCAATAGAAATCTAAATTTGCATTTGCCAAAACTCCCTTCAGTTTCCAGGTCAGTAACATATGGCGACGTTGACTTGTCCCGCAGACATGGACAGCAATCAGCGACCCCGGCTCAAGGAGCATGCAGGCCTCTGCTCATCAGGAACGCTTTTTGGTTTGGCTCACGCTGCAAGAAACTCTGGAGCATGTCCATGCCGTCCAGAGATCCTCCAGGTTTCAGGATTAGGTTTCTGTATTTCATTCCAACCTAATGAAACAAAACATCACGCCTCATAATTCATGGCGATGGAGGTTTTCCAAAGATCTAGATGCAGAAGAGGAAGGGGAGGGAGTGGCAAGCAGAGCATCATGCTCTCTGGACGGGCACTCCGGGGTTCAGACCACAGCTCTGCGTGTTATTTACCTGGTCACTAAGCGGTGGGAGTCTAGACCGCTCGTCTTCATACTCCCTGTTGCTACCTCTTGTCGTTTTAGTCTCAGCAGTGAGAAAACGACGGCAGCCAAGAGACAAATCAAAAAAAATTAACCCAGTGGAACACAGAACAGTTTCCTGTTTGTGACCCCAGCACGACTGTGATTTCATACGATTTCTCAGAGCAAATGTTCCAGAGGGCTCTTCTGAGGTTCCGTGTACCTGGAAGACTTGCCTCGGCTCCTGCATGAAGGGTTTCTGCTGTGTTTTTACATAATATTGTAATTCAATGGACTGGAGCGATAGCACAGCGGTAGGGCGTTTGCCTTGCACGCAGCCAACATAGCCAACCCGAGTTCGATTCCTCCGCCCCTCTCGGAGAGCCCGGCAAGCTACCGAGAGTATACGATATGCCAGACACAGTAACAACAAAGTCTCCAATGGAGACGTTACTGGGCCTGCTCGAGCAAATCGATGAACAACGGGAGGACTGTGACCGTGACCATGATTGTAATTCAATATCTCTCCTCCCGTTGTTCATCGATTTGCTCGAGCGGGCCCAGTAACGTCTCCATTTTGAGACTTGTTGTTACTGTGTTTGGCATATCGAATACGTCACGGGGAGCTTGCCAGGCTTTGCCGTGTGGGTGAGATACTCTCAGTAGCTTGCCGGGCTGTCTGAGAGGGGTGGAGGAATCGAACCCGGCTCGGCCGGGCTGGCTGCATGCAAGGCAAATGCCCTACCGCTGTGCAATTCAATATCAGTTTTATTATATTTTATACATAAAGCAAATAGTTCACAGAGAATACTCTTACATGTGTTACTTGATTGCTGGGTCCATTTACTAAAACTATCAGCTCTTTTTGAGTATAAGAACAGCCAGATTATTTCAGAGTTAAGAGTAATTAAGCTTTCTCACTTCTAACAATGATTCTGTTTGGTACAACCACCAGGTAGTTCTTGGGAGACCACAGGACAGCAAGAATGGGCCTTGTGCATGCCAAGGCATGTGCTCCATTTTCTTGCACCATACTGTCAACCTCCAATAACAAATACACAGAGGCAAAAATTATTGACATTCAAGATTGGACAATCTTTTGTTATTTAAAAAAAATTTTTAGTCCACAATTACAGGAACATGAATGGAAATCTGAAGTAAAAAAATCATCACCCAAAGTGCTGAACCCTGACAGAAGTATTTTCATGGTGTACGAAGAGACACTTTGGGTTGGAATGACAGGACAGTGGGTAAGGCGCTCGTGCCTCACCCAGGTGCAATCCCTGGCACCACCACATATGGCCCCAGGAGCATTGAACTGAAGTAAACACTGGGCATAGCTGGATGGACCCTCTCCACTCTCCTGTAGCACTGTCCTCCCGTTGTTCATCAGTTTGTTCGAGCGGGTACCAGTAACGTCTCCATTGTGAGACTTGTTACTATTTTTGGCGTATCCAATATGCCACAGGGAGCTTGTCAGGCTCTGCCATGCAGGCGGGATACTCTCGGCTTGCCGGGCTCTCTGAGAGGGATGGAGGAATCAAACCTGGGTTGGCTGTGTGCAAGGCAAACGCCCTACCCGATGTGCTATGGCTCCAGCCCTCCCACTCTCCTGGAAAACAAGAACCAAAGAGAACTGTACTTTCAGGTGGAAAGCAAAAGCAGGCACTCAGGGAACTGCAGCTGGCTGGGAAGGAGAGCAGGCCCAGCTCAGTCTTACAAGATGGGGCTCGGTGCTGCTCAAGCCCTCCCCTGACAGAGCTCCAAACAAGTTGATTGAATTTCCTGAATTACAGAGCAACAGCCTTTTAATAGTTTCATTTCCTTTGCAATGAAGTTTGGAGAAGAGTTTTAAGAGTCATTTGGTAAAAGAACCTAGCTTTTCTTTGGGGGGAAAAAGAAGTCAAGTGAATTGTTTTGTGTTTTAGGAAGATACTGGTCTTTCTGGGTAAAAGATTAGCCTGAGAGACATGTCACAGGTGGAAGGAATCTTGGCCGCAAACAGCTCTACGTTGTTTACATAGTAAAGAACTCTTAGGAAAGCAGAAAGAGAAGTTCTAAGGCAGACACTAATTTTTTTTCCATGCAGAAAAAGTCTTTCCATGAATTTTCTGTGAAGGAAAATCAGTCACAGTCACCCCTGCGGTTTGGGGTGAAGACCATCATGCAATTTCAGAGATTGTGCCATTCCTCTCTAATAGCTAATGCTTTCTGGAGCCCATGAGGCACTGCGGAGGCGGGCTCAGGCTTCATCGTGGCTTCACCCTTAGCTGTGTGACCTTGGGCCTTGGTTTACTCAGCTGTAGAACAGGAATCTGACTACCTCACTCAGTTTGTGGAGAGTGAGAGATGGTTTCTCACTCTCCCTCTCTAGCTTAAGACCTCCCACGAGGACTGTATTCAATAAACTTGAGTAGGCATCTATTTCCTCCTTGACATTCTCGCTCCTTATATGGCTCTGAAATTCAGTTACTCCTATACACTGCAGGGAAACGAATACATTCCTAGCTTGGCATCTCCTCATAATTAGGGCCAAGTAAGTGGCTCAGTGGTGGAGCACATATTCCTGAAATTGAGATCCTGAGTTTGGTCTTCAGCACACACAGACAATAAACTCTGTTGCTTAATAAAGGTAAGGTAAGGCAAGAAGGGGCCAAAGTGATAGTACAATGGGTAGGATGCTTGCCTCCCACACTGCTGATCTGAGTTTGATCCATATGGTCTCCCCAAGCCCCATGAGTGCCGAGCCAGGAGAAAGCCCTGAGCACTGCTGGATGTAGTCCCAAAACAAAAACAAAAAGCACAAAAAAAAGCTCAACTCTATGAAAACATGAAAAGGTAAAGGTAAAGGCCCTCCCGTTGATCGTCGATTTGCTCGAGCGGGCCCAGTAACGTCTCCATTGGAGACTTTGTTGTTACTGTGTCTGGCATATCGAATACTCTCGGTAGCTTGCCGGGCTCTCCGAGAGGGGCGGAGGAATCGAACTCGGGTCGGCCATGTTGGCCGCTTGTAAGGCGAACGCCCTACCACTGTGCTATCACTCCAGCCCTTGGAAAACATTAAAATTTATTTTCTTTTTGTGTGTGTATGATGATTGATACAGGTGATTTGTCTCTCCTTGTTTCTCCAGTGATAGTGCCATCACTAAAACATTTTTAGAATTTCTTTCCCTGCCTGTGACATGTTTTGGTTATTTTTGTATGGCAACAGGCGTTATCCTTAGAAATACATTTGAATTTTTTAAATATCAAAAGAAATTTTGAACCATCTTAGGAAAGTAATGCTTACTTAGGAAGCAAACTATTGACACATGCAACATGGATCAATCTGCTGGATGTAAGGCTGCTGTCTATACATTTTATACCTTTTAAAATGTATGGCACTGGCACTGGCACTGGCCTCCCATTGTTCATCAATTTGCTCAAGCGGGCCCAGTAACGACTCGATTGTGAGACTTTGTTGTTACTGTGTTTGGCATATCAAATACATCACGGGTGGCTTGCCAGGCTCTGCCGTGCGGGCGAGATACTCTCGGTAGCTTGCCGGGTTCTCTGCGAGGGACGGAGGAATCGAACACAGGTTGGCTGCGTGCAAGGCAAGCGCTCTACCCACTGTAGTAACACTCCAGCCCATATAATAAAAGTAAAGTAAGTAAAGTAAAGGCCCTCCCGTTGATCATCGATTTGCTCAAGCGGGCCCAGTAATGTCTCCATTGGAGACTTTGTTGTTACTGTGTCTGGCATATCGAATACTCTCGGTAGCTTGCCGGGCTCTCCGAGAGGGGCGGAGGAATCGAACTCGGGTCGGCCATGTTGGCCGCGTGTAAGGCGAACGCCCTACCACTGTGCTATCGCTCCAGCCCTATGAAAACATGAAAACATGAAATAGAATATATATTTCAGTAGGAAAGCAGGAGAAAGAAGCTGCTCATTTTATCTACGTCTGTGTAGCCTTTACTTGAGGTAATGCATTGAGAGCAATCATCATTATCGGGATGATGGATGCCCATCATAACCAGTGCGAATATGAAGAAACTTATAGAAATGGGGAACAGATGGGGTCTCCTGCTATCTCTGGCATCTCTGAAGCAGCACAGTTAAGTGCCCACTGCCTTCCAACCCTTTCCTGTGGTGACGCACTCTGTGGAGCGGAACCAGAATCCTCTCCTTCCGGCACAAAGTAACAGGCAGCAGAGCCAGAAGCATCCACCCAAGGACGGAAGGCACAGGCCCCTGGCCTGCTCATCAGCCTGTGTTAAAAGTGGACTTTGATCCCAAATTATCTGCTAAAAATGAGACAAAAAAAAAGGTTTCTTAGAGGGAAGTGTGAGAAGATTGTATTTTTTTTTTTTTTTTGCTTTTTGGGTCACACCCAGTGATGCTCAGGGGTTACTCCTGGCTCTGCGCTCAGGAATTACTCCTGGTGGTGCTTGGGGGACCGAATGGGATGTCAGGGATTGAACCCGGGTCAGCTGCATGCAAAGCAGATGCTCTACCCATTTTACTATCGCTCCGGCCCCAGATTGTTGTATTTCACCCAGGAGACATTAAACCCTTCTATTAGAGAACAGCAACATGTTGTTTTTATGGTGGTGGGAAGGCGTAATGGTGGTGGGACTGGGGTTCGAATATTAAATGTAGTCAAATATTGTGAACAACTTTATAAAAATAAAATTGAAAAAAAAAGTGGACTTTGAAACCTTTCCTTCCACAGTCCATCTGTCAACTCTCTCCCAACAACACACCACCTTTGTTTTCTATGAGGGTGGGGAGACTGTGGGTGGAATCACTGACAACAACAAAGAGGGCGATAGAAAGATTGGTGTTGGTGGCTGG